TTCTTCGGTTACAGAACCCAATAAGAAGTGAATTTTATACAACACAGAACAGTAAGGGCACACTGTTGGAATTTCTTAATTGCAGCCAAGGTCAGCAGGTGATACAGCTGGTACTAGAGATCTGTCTTTAAGCCCACGTTGGAGTTAGAAGCTGTACCCAAGCCTTAGCCCTTTAGGTAAGCGCTGCTGTCTTGGAACCCGACCCTGAAGGGTAGGCAGCATCCCCAGCCCTGTCCCTGTCATTCGGCATTTCAGACACCGCCACTCCTTGCCTATATTCAAGGCTGCTCCAAGAACGCTAAAGTTCTCCTCCCTTGCATCCTTACAATGCTAACAGATTCATTTGTTCATCATTTTATTCAGTTATATAATCAGCACATAAAACAATCACACTGGATTTCAGAATGCCCCAGAGAATCTGCAAAGCTAGAGGCCGTTTCCTGTTGTTCAAGAGGTAAAAGGATCAAATAAAGCTACGACTCTCAAGAAAACTTTAAAAGGTTGTTGCAAGCCGTGATGAGACACTGAGCAGCTGATCACAGGAATCACAAGGTAAAAACACTTCCCTCTGCAAAAATTTACTTGACACTCCCTCAGCCTGGGATTTTTCCTCATCCAGTATCATCACAGGCCTATTTCCCTTCCTCATGTGGGTCACTTTCAGTGGAGAAAACCTCAGAACTTGAAGATGTGGCATTTTACTTGTTTTCCTTAATTGCAAGTTATTTCTCTTTGTCAGCTTAGCAGTCACAGAATTGCAGTACTACAAGGGCAAACATCTGCTGTCACGCATGCAGCGTTACCGCTCGGGTGGATTTCTTCTCAGCAGATGAGAGGAAATGTCCTTCTTGTTTAGACAAAAATATCAAATGGTTGGGAAATAAGGAGTTAGTAAAAGCTGTATACAAGGTTCATGCTTGAGAAACACAAGGGCACAGAAGACTTAGCCACTAAGGAAATTCCACTGGACATTGAGTTACAATAATTTAGATCTGTTCATTTATGGTAAATCAGCCATTTTACTGTTGACCTACTTTGTATCAGCAATAATTTGTCACAGTGCATTCTTCAACTGCTACTGAAAGAAAGGTTGAAACCATACATTAAGAGCACAGTGTCAAAGCAACTGATGTTAATTATACCCTGCAACTCCTATGTTGATGAAATTGTTACTGCTAACCATTAATACAGCATTTACTGTCTAAGCCCAGCTTGCTCTACCAACCCTAGAAAGCCACTGAATTAACATCCTGCTTCACAATGTTCACTTTATGCCACATTGGAATGTAAATCTGAAACATGTAAAAATAACCTCTGCTATTACACCAAGAATGTGTAAATACACATTCCTTTTTAGGAGAGCTATTTATCTCCAGTCTATACATGTTTCACTCTTTAAACCAAGAACAGCTTTAATGTTCTTCAGTCAAGTGTCAGCTTTTGCCAATATAAACTATTTTCTCTAAAAATTATGGCATCAAGTAGAGGAAACTTGGGAAAACGTAGAGTGCTGCTTGATTTATGAAAATTCAGAAATAAGCTTTACATAGATACACAAAAAAGAAAAGCAGCAATGTTTTTCATTTTATTCATTGCTAACCTGTGCAATAACAAGATATCATATTCTTCCAGCATAAGTAACCAAGGTTAATTAGAAGGACACCTTATGCGGATTTACTGTTCATGTTCAGTGACATCTGCTTAATTTGGTGACAGAAATGTTTACAAGCATCAGCACGAACCAACCACTCTGGGAGCATTAACTGGATTCTTTATGGTTTGCACATCAGTAAACTGTTTTGTAAGGTCCTACTGCTGCAGTACAGTTCCCCCTCCTTCTAAATCATCTCTCAAGCTCCTCTTTTATGCATTTAAATTGAAGGCAGTCGAGAGCATACAGGCTTAACAATATTTAGCCTTCAGAATTGTCATCATGAACTATGACATGAGACAGCACAAGTTGACCTTCTGATCCAAGAAGATTCTTTTTAATGATGAACAGGAGAGACACTTTTATCCCATGAACTGATTCAATACAAGATACAACAAAAGTAGAAGCTGGTGGTAGTATTTTCACATCAGAAGAGTGCCTCACACTTCTGTGAGGTTATTTCCAAATTCTCATATAGACTGACAGAACAAACCAATAGTAAGAAAATCCTTTGGCATGATGAGATCATACAGATCTACCAGAAAATCTTTGCAGAGTCAGCAGAAAAGTAGAAAACTAAAATCAGCATTATTGGTAATTGAAGAAAAGCTCTCACACCTCTATTCAGACCTAAGAATGACCCTAAGATCTAGAGGAAGAAAAAGATCATAGTCTAAATGGCTGCTTAAGCCAGATATACCTCTCCAGAATAAGCAGGAAACAAACAACTGCATAGAGAACAGAAGAACAAAGATTCTTACAGGATACATATAATACAACTCTCTTTAGGGGAATCATTGTTACCGAACATGAAACACAAAAGTAAACTCAAGTGCATAGGACCTGATACCACACATAGCACAGTGGAGGAATATGCTGTGAGAAAAAGAAACATTTGCTCACCTGGCATAAACTAGAAGGCAACTGTACGCTTTATAAAGACATTCACTGAATGGTCAACAAGTCTTAGCAGACTGGTCCATCAGTCTAAGAAGAGCTGTAACATGAAAGCTGCATACAGCCAAGCCTGCCCTCAGAACATCAACAGAACAACAGGATTATTTAGTGCTTCACAAGGAAAGTCCAACTAATTTAACTAATGTGCACTGGGCAAGCAGGTCTTGAATGTGCTCTCTCGTCTCTAATATTTGCATTAAAATAAAAGCCTTGCTGGTTTCATAATGGCACCTTAAATGAAATTCAAAAGTGACAAGCATTTAGTTTAGTGCACTGTTTGTTCTACCTGCACCAAAACATAGGATTGGCAACAGCCTCCTCTTACCGACATACTCCATTCTCAGGAGTCCCTCCTATGCCCTGCTGCCACAGCATGCTAATTGCTTTCAAAATCAGACAAGGGCACATTGTGTGTACATTGGGTATATTTAAATTCCAGCTGGAAGAAATCCCAACAACTCTGAGGACACAGGTTGTACTCGTTACAGCTGCAGTTAAAAATGATGCCATGAATGAAAGCATCCTACTGTAAAAGGACTAAAATGTTAACCATCTCAGGGAGCAGGCTCATTCTTGGTTCAGTGTCACATGCCAGCCTCGCAGATGGAATACTTGCTGTCTCACGAAGCTGTGCTTAACTTATCAAAAAGAAAGCACCAACAGCTGATGCTTTCATAATCTGCACAGCACATGTCAAAGACCAACTATACAGCCACTCTTCCTGATGCTGTTCTTACTGTGCCACAGAAGATACTACAGGCAGCACCACAATATACCAAGCACAGCTCAGTCAGCAGCAAGCTTCAAGAAAGTTTAATATAGCTTTACAGGAAGCCAAGCTCAGTATTTTTCTTTCTATTTGGATATACTTATTCTGTCTGCAGACATGTAACACAAGAGAAATGTCTTTGAGCAGTACTCCTACTGCTTGAATAAACCTCTTGCTTACAGACTTAACTTGAAAGTTCCATCTTAGAAGGAGTAGAATTTTTAAGGTATCAAGATGTGAACCTAAACTTTGACTGTATGCAGTAGTAACACTAGTAATGTAAAGCAAGCTCATTCTGAAGCTTTGGTAATAGATCTATTATTGCCAGATCCAAATACTAAGCAAGCTCTTTAAGTTCACTGCTTCAGGAACACTTATGCTTCCACCAGTCTATGTCAGAAAGTCATAGTACTGGAGAAGCCCTAGCAATACTTTAAAGTGCTGAATGTTGATATACATATGCAGATCACAGTAAAAATAGTATGAAAAACAGTATGAAAGCTGAACTTTCGAAAAAAGAGTGGGAAAGAAATTGGTAAAAAAAGCTAGACTGCTCAGTCCTACATTTTGCTTATATATAATCAGCTGACAGGTCAGAAGACAGATTTGAACTGGATATACAGCACATTACTATCACCACATTGTAAAGGCTTATAGTTGAGCAGAAGCTGCCACAACACATGGCAAGTCTGAAGTTCGGTTCTATCCATAGCTAGCAAGCTTCGTTGGCAAGTAATGATTGCTTCTTTTCCTGCAGAGCAACAGCATTTTCGCAACTGAAGTGACCAAGTTGCATAGGCCTTTTATTAAACACTCACAGAACAAAGTACACAGAAGATGAGGAACAGAAAGCTCTTGAGTTTTACTCCAGCACATTAGCAAGTGTAAATAAAGTGGTAAGGAATTTCTCTCAAGTGTAACTAACCACTGTGCTGCATACAAATGACATTAGTGTGGTGCTTAAGTGAATCACATCTCCACATCATCCATTAACTTTGAATACATATATAAGTATGGGCTTCTCACTTTGCCTCAACCAACCTTTTAAGTTTGGGAAAAAAGATCTACATACCTTTTGTTGAATTCCATTCTTAATGATTTCTAAAGTGAAAGTCTTGCATCTGAAGAAAGCAAAAGGCGAGCAACCTTTCTGTAGGGTGGTTCACCTGCCCTTAAGGCTAAGGGACACTCGTCCCAGAAACTCTTATTGAGCAGGCAATCCATCAGGGAAGAACTGAGAACTTGTGAGCAAGTACGTCAAAATGGACATTTAGGTTTGCTATATCCTTCATCAGGAAGCCAAGTAAGCTTTAATCCTCTGGATTTATTCATCTTTGGCGGATGTTATTTCTGTACCTTTTCCTCATATCCTGGAATTACTGGCCCTGGAGTTATTTCCACATTGACCGATTTTAAAAGGCTTAAAGTGACATGTACATCATTGTGTTCCCCTAAACTTCCCAAGCATTTATATAAGAGGTCTTCAATAATCCATGTCTGTACCAAGTGTTCCTGAGCATCAGGGTGCCATTGATGTTCTTAAGCCTTTATAGTACCTATTTCATTTCTACTGTGAGACAAAAATAGTTTAACTGATCCTATGTAATCACGACAAGAGATTAATTAAAATGCCAAGATAGGAAACAATTTATTATAGAGAGAAGAAAAATTTCTCATCCAAAATATAGAAATCTGTACAACTTTGCCACAATCAATATACATGAACTGTACAAATTTACACCAGTTCATAATTTACCAAATAAAAGATGACTAACAAAGTTCACAAAATAGATGGTGGTTTGTGGAAAAGACTTTTACCCAATTAAGAACAAGGAAATTACAAACCAGACCTCCACTTTCTAAAAATAAGAAGTTTACTCAGTCTTAGAAAACTACAAGCTAGCAAATGTACAGATAGCTGGCTGGTGCGAACACCACAGTTCAGACAGTGTCTTTATATGGTCTTTTTAAAGCCTGTTGCCATGGCAGGTTCTGATCACTTGCTACTTTTGAGGTCAATGTAAAGATCTGACCATTTCCCCAGGTCGTACTTACTGGTTTATCTTATGTACATTTATACATATTTGTAAGTGCTAGGTAAAAGTCTGAAAAATAAAATTTCCAGTACTATGGTGTTTATAACAGTAAGTCTTGTTACTGAGCTGCCAAAAATGCTAACAATTAATAAATGTAATAGTGCAAATTTACTCCGCAAGACCTACTGCAGAGAATCACTTTATAAATACAGATAGATTGGGGTTGAAAATTGGTGTAGAAATTAAGTAAGATGTCTTGGAGAAAGTGACCCTTCCTAGATCTTCTTAACTCCCTAGCAAGTTGCAATCACATTGACTCACAGGCTATTAAATCACTGAAAGGTACTGTCCAAACTATGGCACTGTCACTTTAAAGTATACCACTCTAATGTGTGCCAGATCTTCACAGCTGTGACATGGTTTAAATTCCATATTCCATCCCCAGAGGTGCCCACCCAAAGTAAAAACCAAATTTATCCATCCATTTTAAGGTGATCCATCCACAGACTATATCTTAACCTGATACAGTCATCATATTGTAGCTTTTGGAAGGGCTAGTTCTGCCCAAGAGAAGTTCCTCCTTACAGCTTATTCTGCTGTCTACCATTTGCATGTTGGTGTTATTTTGGCTACCTCCTGCTGGTGCAGCTTCATACAGCACACAGATCGAGCCATCCTCTCCAATACGATAGGACACTTCATACGGGTCAACCCATAGAGTGAGTTCGCTTGGAAGAAGCTGGAACAGTTCCTGACTGCTCAATCCAATCCGCTGTGCTGCCTGTCCAATGAGGGGATCCATTTTATGGTTGATGCGGATACATCGGTAACCTGATCCCTTGCATGGCTTTTCTGGGAACCAGTGGTGTTTATAATGTTCTATAAAATGAAGAAAACAAAAATTATCCTCCTTAATTCTCTGTTCAAAAAGATGTACAGTGATCATTGCTCTCTCGCAAATTTCACACTTCAAGATGTTGAAAAGCAGATTAATTTAGAATCAAGTGACCTGAATAATCACTATAGTCTTTATTTTTGCTGATGATTTACGTAAGTGCAGCGTCCCTTGGGAAGTACTCATGTCCAAAGTTACTGCTTTGTGCTACCATATACAGACAACGATGTTTGCCACCCGAAAGGAGTGAAAGGCAGCTTCCTAGCATTCATAGAAACAAATGTAAAAATACAGAAGTGGTTACATACATAGCAGAAAATAGCGCTTCAAAACTCCACGAACCAAGAAGGAAAAAAAGCATCCTCTTGCAATCCCACTCAGGCTTAGTTCCTCTCATTCTAAGAGCAGCCAAAAACAACTCGGGAAGGAGCTGGGCAGCACGTACCGACTGACTCGAGCTCTATTATTTCACCACTGCTCTTCCCAGGGCAAGATACCAATGATTTCACTTACCTTCGGAGTTGTATCCCACCCTTACCTTCGGAGTTGTATCCCCCCCAAACCCCTACCAGTCCGAGGCTACTTGTAGCCACTATCAGGCACCCTGGGACACAGTCTCGAGATTACAAAACCCGCAGGGTAGCAAAGAAAAACCCTCGGGATTTGATCCTGAGCGGGGCTGTCGGGCGGCTATCAGATGTTTCCAGAAGAAATGGGAACTGAGACTCATCATCCACCGCTCAGTTTTACTTGACGAAAAAGCAACTCCGGAGCGTTTTTCTTTCCGGAAACCGGGCGGTTCGAGCCCTTGGAGCGGAGCCCAAGCCCGGGCTGCTCCGAAAGCTTTTGTCTACGGAGCCCCGAGGGCGGGCGCCTGCGCGACACCCGAGCCCCTTTTGTGTACAGCCCGCTCCC